CAGATGGAGGCTAAAGGCTAAATTGTGGCTAAATAGCCACAATTGTGCTATTCTACTTCCACCTGGGTGACAGAGCGAGACCCTGTCTCCAAAAAAAAAAAAGTATTATTTTTCAACTAAGCAGTGTTAATACATATGTAGAATGTTAGTTTCTAAATTCCATCATTCTTAAAAACAACCAGTGCTAATAACAGGCCTTGGGAAGGGAGTGTACAAGTTTTCATGTCCTGGAAAGCAAAGCCCAATAAGTACATGATAAAAAAGAAAAAGAAAACATATTAGTGCTGTGGGGGAAATTTTAAAAAAAGGAAAAGAAAAATAGTAAAGAAATACACATATACAAAAGCATATATACAACTTTGATACAATCTGATTATCAAAAAAGAATGACAGACACTGATTATAACGTGAAATTTTTTTAAATCCATGAATCTTTAGCTAAAACACTGAGCGAAGGATGGTTAGAGAAACTCTTATAGTAACACCCCACAGCTTATTAGAATCAAAACAAAAAATGGTATGCTTATGATGGAGAGCACTGGCAGATATCACCTTAATCAAGTGATCACACTTAATTAAAACTCCCCAAACTGGGGAAAACTGTCATTCTATAACTTGATGAGATGCAATGGGAAGCACAAAACATTAGGTAGGTGGATTCTTGCCAAAGATGTTTACCTGAAACCATTCATGAAAAAAACAAGACAAATCCAGAATAAACAACATTTTATAAGACGAGTTTGGAAGCTTAAAAATGTCATTATAATAAAAAAATTTTTAAAAGATGGTGGGGACATCTAAAATAAAGGAGACTAAAGAGCCACAACAACCCAATGCAATATGTGATCCTAGATTGCGTCCTAGATGGGGGAGAAAACCAGCTTTTATAGACATGTTGGGATAATTAGAGAACTCTGAATATTTACAGCATAGTATATATTCCTGAATCAATATTAAATTTCTTAGGTGTAATTAAGAAATTAAAGTGATGTAAGGAAATGTTCCTTTTTTTTTTTTTTTTTTTTAGATGGAGTCTCATTCTGTCACCCAGGCTGGAGTACAGAGTGCAATCTTGGCTCACTGCAACCTCCGCCTCCTGGGTTCAAATGATTCTCCTGCCTCAGACTCCTGAGTAGCTGGGATTACAGGAGTGCGTCGCCACACCCTGCTAATTTTTGTGTTTTTAGTAGACATGATTTTTGCCATGTTAGCCAGGCTGGTCTCGAATTCCTGACCTCAGGTGATTCACCCACCTTGGTCTCCCAAAGTGCTGGGATTACAGGTGTGAGCCACTGTGTCTGGCCAGAAATGTTCATTTCTTAAACAATATATGCTAAGGCATTTCATAAAATATTTAAAAGCTTTTTATTATAAATGTTTATAATAAACATTATAGACATTTTACATTTTAGAATAATTTAAGACTTACAGAAAGGCTGCAAAGATAGTATAGAGATTTCCTGTAAACACACTTTCCCTATGAATGAACAGCATATATTACCATGGGACCTTTGTTAACACCAGGAAACTTACATTGGCACATTACTATTAACTGATCTCCAGATTTTATTTGGATTTCACAAGTTTCTTCATCAATGTCTTCTTTCTGTCCCAAGGTCCAATCCAGGACAGCACACTGCATTTTGCTGTCTTGACTCCATAGTCTCCTATGATTTGTGACAGTTTCTCACTTTCCTTTTTTATGCCCTTGACAGTCTTGAAGAGTACTGGCCATTTATCCTGCATAATGTCACCAATCTGTATTTGTCTGATGTTCTACTCATGATTAGCCTGAGTTTATGGTGGGGATTGGGGGAAGAATACCACAGAGGCAAAATGTCCCTTCTCAAAACATCATAGTAGAGAGCACCGGATATCCACATGACATAACTGGTAGTGGTCATCTTCATCACTTGGTTATCAAGAGGGTACTGTAACATATGTTTTCCTCTTAGGTTACTTAGGTCTGTTTGTTTTTTCATCACCCCTATCAGTGGAGCTATGCCACATCCGTACAGTACAACTAATTTCATCTGACTGAGTCTGTATTCTATGCTTGTATCTTTTTGATGCTCCTGGTTGATGTATGCATTGGGGAGTGTGTGTGTTCATGTTAGTTTGCATACATTGATGTCCATTCTTTGTAACATAGAGTTCTATAGGTTTTGGCAAATACATACAATTATGCACCTGATATGGTTAGGCTTTGTGTCCCCACCCAAATCTCATCTTGAATTGTAATTCCCATAATCTCCACATGTCAGGGGAGAGACCAGGTGGAGGTAATTGTATCACAGGGGTGGTTTTCCTGATGCTGTTCTTGTGATAGTGAGTCTCAGGAGATCTAATTTCGTGTGTGTGTGTGTGTGTGTGTGTGTGTGTGTGTGTGTGTGTGTTGGAGTCTCGATCTGTTGACCAGGCCAGAGTGCAGTGGTGCAATTTCAGCTCACTGAAAACTCCACCTCCCAGGTTCAAGTGATTCTCCTGCCTTAGCCTCACGAATAACTGGGATTACAGGTGCCCACCACCATGCCTGGTTAATTTTTTGTATTTTTAGTAGAGACAGGGTTTCATCATGTTGGCCAGGTTGGTCTTGAACTCCTGACCTCAGGTGATCCACCCGCCTTGGCCTCCCAAAATGCTAGGATTACAGGTGTGAGCCACCGTGCCTGGCCTGAGCTGATGGTTTTATAAACGTCTGGCATTTCCCCTGTTTGCAATTATTTTCTCTCCTGCCACTCTGTTAAGAGGTGCCTTCTACCCAGACTGTGTGTCCTGAGGCTACCCTAGCTAGCCATGCAGAACTGAGTCAATTAAACGTCTTTTCTTTATAAACTACCTAGTCTTAGGTATTTCTTCATAAAAGCATGAGAATGGGCTAATATAGCACATAACACACAGTACCATACAGAACAGTTCCTTTACTCTAAAAGTGTCCTGTGTACCCCCTTTCTGGCCAACAACCCACCCCAGCTCAATCCCTGGCAAATTCTCAACTGTTTTCTAGCCTTGTAATTTTCTGGAATGAATAGAATAATAAAATATGTCACCTTTTGGGTTTGACTTTTTAATTTGCATTTACATTCATATATGCCACTGCATGAATTATTTAATAGCTTGTTTCTATCATTGAATGGTATTCCATTGTATGAATGTACCGTGGTTTTATTCACTCTCCTCTCTGACTAAAAACATCTTGGCTGCTTCCATGTTTTAGCAATTAAGGATAAAGCTGTTTAAATATTCACACACAGATTTTTATGTAGACACAAACTTCATAAACCCTTTGGTAAACACCTAGGAGTACAATTTTTGGGTTGTGTAGTAAGTCTATGTTTAACTTTACACAAAAAACTGGCAAGTTGTCTTCCAAAGTGGCTGTACAATTTTGCATCACCACCAGCAACGAGTAAGAGTTTCTGTTCTACTTTCCCACAAGCATGTTATCGTCAGTTTTTCTGTATTTTCACCATTTTAGTAGGTGTACAGTAGTATCTTGCTGTGGTATCAACCTATTTTAGTGCTCTGTTGTTCATTTTCAAATTTAAATGCTACAAAATTTTTTAATTTTAAAAAACTTCATGTTAAAATCCAAGCACCCCAGATACGCTATTCATAAAATTTTAAGCTACAGATGTCAGATCATGTAAAGCTTTTTCTTTTAACTTAAAAGTTATTTTTTCTAATTATAAAAGAGAGAGAGAGAGAGAGAGAGTGTGTGTGTGTGTGTGGGTGTGTGTGTGTGTGTGTGTCTGTATGTGTAAGACATTATTAATAGCTCCAGCATCCAGAGATGAATGCTAATTTCTTCCAATTGTGTGTGAGCACATGTTCAGATTAAAACACATGTAAAGACCTAAAGTCGAAAGCAGGTATGAGTCTAAGATGTTTAAGGAAAAGAAAGCAAGCATGGTGTAAGGAAAGAATGACAGTAAGCAAGGAGGTTTTAACAGAAAATGAATTTGGAGACAGAAGTCAGTTCATGTAGATTAGGGATTATCCAACTTTGGTGTATCATAAAATCAGTAGGAGGGCTTATTAAAACAGATAGTAGCCCTGCACCTGGTTTCTGACTCAGCAGATCAAGAATGGGACCTGAGAATTTGCATATCTAACAATTTTCCAGGTGCTGCTGATGCTGTTGGTGCAAGACCACACCTGAGAACTCCTATCGGGCCTGCTACACTATAATGAGCAGTCTGATTTTTATTCCAAATAAACTGGAAGACATTGGAATATTTTAAGGATAGAATGTTGTGATTTATTTTGAATTTTAAATAGATCATAGTGACTGAGGTGTGAAGGTCAAATCAGAGAGGACAAAATGATCAATGGGATCATACCAAACAGACTACTTATGTGAAATGATGGCGCCTTGGATTAGGGTAGTGGTGGTATTAATATATGGATGGCTTCAGAATAAATACAGGAAAAGCTTACAAAAGTTGCAAATGGATTGGGTGCTGGGATGAGAAAAAGATAAATAAGGGAGATGTCTAGGTCACAGAATTATTTAACAACTGCCTCTATGGAAGACTTCATGAGATACAAGTCATAAATTCTGTTTCAAAAATATGTGATTTGAGATATCAATATACAATTGGAAATGCGAAGAACAGATGACTTCAAATACAATGATGATCCTTTGAACCCAGGAACAGAAATACGTTACATGAGAATTACCTTTCACCAAAAAGAAGTTGGCCAGTACCATTCAAATTTAATGGCCAGTGAAGCACATGTGTGAGAATGGCTGAGTTGGCGACAAGGAACTTGTATGTACCCCTTACACGCCCAAAGCCTATCACAATACTTTCTGTGTTACAGACAATTAGATTTAATAAATTAGAAGTGTAAGTTGGGCTTCTGGGAAATGATAAATGATTTTACATAATTTATGAACATTAAGTTCACATATTGCATACCGGACTACCTTAATCATGAATTCAAAGAAGTTAAAACTGTTCTACCGTGGACACACAGGGCTGACCACAACTCACCCTTCCCAGTTCTTTATCTTCTAGGGCCAGAACTCCAGTGCTTTCTGTGAAGAGTTTCACTTTGACCACAGGCCGAGGATGGGTGGTGGTAAAATCTCCTTGAGTCCCCCATCTGTAATGAAGTAACAAAAATGTTCCTTAAAATGCAGCATTAATTTTTTTCCCCCAAGGAGATGTATCTCCATAGAAGGCAAATTAAACAATACAGAATCTTTGTTGCTCAATGAGCTTTTTATCTTTGCTTTTGTTCTAGCAGATGGCACAGTCAAGGAAAAGAATAATACGCTCTACAGCTTGTAATAGTTACTCAGCTGTTCAAAAAATTAGCATGTTGGACTACAAAACATAGTATGTTATGAGAATTTAGGTTAAGGTAAAGCAATGTAGTTGTAGCTACTGAAATCCATTACTTTGTTAATTCAAATGCAAATTATAGCACCATTTTTACGGGCAGCTGGGAAAAATTGCTAAGGGTTTGTTTACATAAGAGATAGTTTCTCAGAAAATGATTTTTATATACTAAAGACTTTATCGCATCTCTTTTTGGGAGGTCTTTATTAAACATTATATATTTTTTAAAGTAAGCATAATTATTTCAGATCTATTACTTTATATGACTTTTAAAGCCCCTGCCAAAAAGAAAGAAATATGCATCATAAGAATCTGAATGTTTTGTAATTAATTTCCCACTACCTTCTCTTAGGAAGGGAATAAGTTTGTCGACATCTGGCTTTTAAAATCATCACAACAAAATAACAGGTTTTATTGGCTTATCTTTTAATTAATAGCATCTTGTCTTTACTGTAGACCAGTTCATTCCAGCTTATTTACAAACTAAACTGGCGCACACCTGATATTAAACAATCTTATCAATATTTTTCACAACTCTGAGAGATGAGATACAATGAGACCCAGCACAGCATGAAGAAAATGCCGTTCAGCAAAATACCACAGAAGAGGGGAAAAAAATGAGATTTAACATACAGACTTATGTTAAAAATAAATAAACAAATAAATATCAATTTTCTTATGCTGTCTTGAAAAAAAAACAAAACAATTAACCATTTTCATGGAGCTGTCTATATTTTATTTAATAAACCTCATTCAGAGAGCTTACAACATACAGAAAACTCAGTAAAGCATGTATTAATACAATTGAACAAATAATTGTGATTATATCTTCCTCTCCTATCACACCATTTATAATAAATGTGTACAGTAAAGCAGGGACCATTTCAATGACTAAAGAAACTAGCATCTAGATGCAGTCTGTTTTTTTGAAACATGATATGCCAGAGGGAAGGGAAGGTTCAATTAGAGAAGAAAAACAGCTTAATTTCTATTTTAGGCTTCCAGAATGGGGTTAGTAAAGAGTCTTTTTGCCATTTCATATAATTAAGATGGTTTACATAAAGCAACAGTAAAATAGAAATAAAAACAAAAATAGATTCAGAACCAAACTAAGGGATAAAGAAAAATTCTCAATTTAGTGTGTGGAGTCTTAAGTCTTGAATACACGTAGTCAGGCAATCTGGTTAACAGCCCGGGAGCTAACTCTCAGGATGTACTCTTCTTTCAATTTAGTGTCACATAAATTTAGAAAACTAATAACCTTGGGAGACATTTTCTTATAACTGAAGTAAAAGATTTTTGATAGTCATATGGAAACAGTCTAATAGTTTTCCACAGAATTTGCTGATTTTTAAAATTCTTCCGATAAAACTTCTATGTATTAAACTAATACATTTTCTCCTCTAATTTCAAAATCCTTTGGAAGTAATTATACTAAATGTTCATCTGTGTTTCCCAACCTTCAGCAATATATGATTACCCAAAGAGAGAAGTGAGCTTTGTTTTTTTAACCTGGTCCTTCTGAAATGCATTCCAATTCCACTTTGCTGGATAAAATAAGACAAGTAACAATGAATATGATGAAAAAAACCCTGCTCACTCATGGTTCCATGAACTTCCAGAAAACTACCTTTTACCTTTGATCCTTCACAGACAAGTATATTCAAAAACTATTCTACAATATATATCACTACAGCACATTTCTCATTTTTGCATTTATATATCTATATCTCTCCATCTATCAGCTATCCTTCTATTTATCTATCCATCCATCCATTCATTCATTCATTCATACATACATACATACATACATACATATTTTTAGACAGAGTCTGGCTCTGTCACAAGGCTAGAGTGCAGTGACTCTATCTCAGCTCACTGCAACCTCCAGCTCCTGGGTTCAAGCTAATCTCCTGTCTCAGCCTCCCAAGTAGCTGGGATTACAGGCATGCACCACCACACACAGATAATATTTTTGTAATTTTAGTAGAGATGGGGCTTCGCCATGTTGGCTAGGATGGTCTCCATCTCCTGACCTCGTGATTCGCCTTGTGATCGTTTCGGCCTCCCAAAGTGCTGGGATTACAGGCATGAGCCATCACGCTCAGCTGCATTAGAAGATTTTTATAGAACGATACATTTTTAAAGTGTCCATAAAATGAGATTCAGTTAAAGAATAACAATACAGTGAAAATCAACATTTCTGCCATTCAGGTTAAGATGGGGAATGCACTACAACATTAGGAAAGCCCTTGTATTCCCCTGGTCTCCTCTTCATCTCCTCTCCACCCCTCACTACTCTGACATAGCTAGCATCCTGAATTTTATATTTATCACTCTCTTGAATTTCTTCTTAAAGGGAATATTTTCAGTATTTTATCTCTAAGTGTTATCATTGCTCTATGTTTTTGGTAGATAGTCTTTTATAGGTAAAATAAATTCTCATCTTTATTAGATACATACATAAATATATTAGGATAAATATATATGTGTGTGTATACATGTATTATATGCATAAAATAAATATATACATGATAAATAAAAATATATATCACAAATACATATGACAGAGATATTGTATGTATACACACATATATGATGGAGATACTGTGTGTATATACATACGTAATATCTCTTCGTATCATATACATTACATCCTAACATACTTCATATACATCACAATATCACTTATATAACATACATTCGTATCATATATATATTATCACATACATATGTATATATGTGTATATATACATATATAAAATAAAAAACAAACATGAAGTTGTCTTCCTTTCCTGAGATAAACTTTTTTTAAACAAAAAAACTAATACAAGCATCAGTAAGTTATATTTTGTTTAGCCTTTTATATAAATGTTCATTATTGAGACTAGCCTGTAAATTTACTTTCTTGGATTTTTCATGTTTGATTTTATTAAGTTGAAAAGTGCTATACTTTTATTCTTTGAAAGAGTTTGTCAAAAAAATGACAATTATTTGTTCTTAGAACTCAACTATTAAACTGTTTGAACCTGATGTTTCTGTATGGGAAGATACTTGCTAATGAAGCAATTTCTTTATTGGTTGTAGTTGTAGAACTACTCAGTTTTTCTCTTTCTCCTTGAGTGAATTTTGGTAAGCAGTTAGTTTTATGTTATTCATTTCATCTAAGATTTTCAAAAGTATTTATACAAGTTGTAAATTTTTAATCTTTGAATCCTTATACCATCTGTTATGTCTTTCTTCATTCTTAATGTTTTCTTCTTTTCCATTTTGAAACTTAACAGAGGTTCATCACTTCTATTATTCTTTTCAAACAATTGTCACTTGACTTTGAAGACCCTCTTTACTTCATGATTGTTTTCAATTTTACTACATTTTGCTCTTTGCTACATTATTCTAATTTACCTGTTTTAATCCTGCTGTTTAAAATTTTAAGATGAATGCATGGTCATTAAGTTTAAGCCTTTCTTCCATTCTGGGCAAGCATTTATGACTATAAATTTGCTTTAACCACTTTACAGCACCCCATAAATTTATAATGTGCATCTTTTACTGTCATTCAGCTGTTTACAGGTATGATTTAGAATTCCTCTTCCTATATATCTTTTCCTTTTTCTTATTAAGTTATATTCTTATTACATCACATTAGATAACATAGCCTGCATAATGCTGTTCATGTAAAATAATTGAAAAGGACTTTAATTTCCATATTTTTTTTTTGTGTGTGTAACTTTTCCATGAGTACTCACAAAGAAAAAAGTACTCTCCATTATGGGTACATTATTGTATTTATTTATGGCCAGAAGTTCTACTTATAAGGTCTAGGACTGCTGAGTCAAGGGGAGGAAATGCTAATGACCAATTCCTGTGAAATGAAGAAGGCTTAAATAACGGGTTCTCAGGCAAAGGAAAAGGTGAGGCACAAGGAGACGGGCAGATCCTGACCGTAGCAAGTGAGAAAACAAAGTTTTTACCAACAATCAACAAAAATGTACAATTTTAAGGGGGTGCATAGTTATATATAAATATTTATGCTTGTATCCCAGAATGTTGAGATTTATAGTTTCTCTATATAATTTATTTATAAAGAAACTATAAATCCCAACATTCCGGGATACAAGCATAAATTGGCACCAATGTGATAATTTCTTCTTTGGGAAATAAATGTTAAAAAAAATATGGATGGTAAGAAAATCGTAAATTCTAGAATGAATAACTTAAAAACACAAGCTTCCCCTGATCCCCACCCCACCCCACAAAAAAAAAAAAAGCAGGAAAAGAGGAAAGAAGATAATAGGCCTATCTTCAATATTCACCAAGACGTTTCCTTATTTTCTACTTAATTGGCATGTTTAAACCCTTTCAGTAATTAATACCAGTTATGGTCTTCCTATTTTCTCAATATTCTTCAATAAAAGAATACATTATCTTGCTGCCCATTTGTGTTGACTCAAAACGCTTTGCCTTTCTCCACTTCTCTGAATGTATTATTTATGAGGATCAGAATTCCAAGGTAAATGTTCAAATGAATAAAAATCTACAAAGCACCTTTATGAGAACAGCAGGACTTCCTGGCTCTGAAAACAGGGTAATTCATATACCAACTGAAATAACTGACATTAATTACGTAGTTGCCATTAAATAAAGGGCACTGGAAATTTGTATCAGAAGCCAAAATATATGTTCATATCTTTTAACCTAGTAACGTTATTTCTAAGAGCTTATCCTATCGAAATAATCGTAAGTATTAAAAAGTATAAG